TGTAAGTTGGTGGTCTAGTTTAATCTTTTTGCATGTACCTGTCCAATTTTCCCAACACAATGAAACAGACTCTCTTGTCTAAATTGTATGTTCTTGCTTCCCTTGTCAAAAATTGAGCACAGTGACTTGGGTCAATTTCTGGGTTCTCTATACTGTTCCATTGAACTACATGCCTGTTCTTGTGGCAGTACCAGGCTGTTTTGATTACAGTGGCTTTGTAGTATAACTTGATAACTGCTATTGTGATCCCTCCATTTTTGTTCTTCTTTCTCAAGATTGCTGCAGCTATTTGGGGTCTTTTTTGGTTCCATGTAAATTTTTGGAGTGCTTATTCTAGGTCTGTGAAATATACCTTTGGTATTTTAATAGGAATGGCATTGAATCTGTAGACTGCTTGGGGTAATAGGGACATTTTAATGATGTTATTCTGCAAATCCTTGAACACAGTATATTTTCCCACTTGTTTATATCTTCCTCTATCTCTATTTTCTTTTTTTCCTCTTTATTGATTAAGATATTAAAAATGTGTCCTTATCTCCCCATTGTCCCCCATATCCCCACTCACCCCCTAGTGTCTGTATTCATTGCTTATGCTTATATGCATGCACACAAATCCCTTGGTTGATATCTATCTCTATTTTCAATGTCCTCTATTTTTTGGAGCATAGGTCTTTTACTTCCTTGGTTAGGATTATTTCTAAATATCTTAATTTTTTGTTGCAATGGTTAATGGGATGGTCTTTTTTGGTTCCATGTAAATTTTTGGAGTGCTTATTCTAGGTCTGTGAAATATACCTTTGGTATTTTAATAGGAATGGCATTGAATCTGTAGACTGCTTGGGGTAATAGCGACATTTTAATGATGTTATTCCGCAAATCCTTGAACACAGTATATTTTCCCACTTGTTTATATCTTCCTCTATCTCTATTTTCTTTTTTTCCTCTTTATTGATTAAGATATTAAAAATGTGTCCTTATCTCCCCATTGTCCCCCATACCCCCACTCACCCCCTGGTGTCTGTATCCATTGCTTATGCTTATATGCATGCACACAAGTCCCTTGGTTGATATTTATCTCTATTTTCAATGTCCTCTATTTTTTGGAGCATAGGTCTTTTACCTCCTTGGTTAGGAGGTTATGTTGAGGTATGTCCCTTCTATTCTCACTTTGCTGAGTTATTTAAAAAAAACAAACAGGGTGTTGGATTTTTGTCTAATGCTTTTTCTGCATTGATTGATATGATCATGTGATTTCTTTTACAATCTGGTTTTATTTATTTTTTTGGTCTTGCAATCTATGTATGTGCTGTATCACGTTTATTGATTTGCAAATATTGTACTAGCCTTGCATCCCCAGAATAAATCCCACTTGGTCATGATGTTTGATGTCTTTATTGTATCGCTGGACCTGGTTTGCTAAAATTTTGTCAAGGACTTTAGTGTCCAGGTTCATCAGGGATATTGGCCTGTAGTTCTTTTTCTTTTTTCAATATATTTTATTGATATTTTACAGAGAGGGAGAGGGATAAAGAGTTAGAAACATCGATGAGAGAGAAACATTGATCAGCTGCCTCCTATACACCTCCTACTGAGGATGTGCCCACAATCAAGGTACATGCTCTTGATTGGAATCGATCCTGGGACCCTTCAGTCCGCAGGCCAACACTCTATCCACTGAGCAAACTGGTTAGGGCCTGTAGTTCTTTTTCTTTGCCATATCTTTATCTGGTTTTGGAATTAGGATAATGCTGGCTTTGTAAAACGAGCTTGGAAGTGTTGTATACTCTTGGATTTGTTGAAATGGTGTGAGGGGTATAGTTGTTAGTTCTTTGAATGTTTGGTAAAACTCTGTTTTGGTAAGCCATCTGGACCAGACCTTTTATTTGCTGGGAGTTTTTTGTTTTGTTTTGTTTTGTTTTAATTACTGCTTCAATTTCATTGGTAGTTATTGGTCTTTTCAGGTTTTCTGATTCTTCCTGAATGAGTTTTGGAAGGCTGTATTTTTCTAAGAATATGGGCTTTTTGTCCAGGTTGTCCTGTTTGTTGGAATAATGTCCGTCATAGTATTTTCTTACAGTCCCTTGTAATTCTGTGGGGTCAGTTTTTACGGCACCTCATTCTGTGTCTGTCAAGTCCACTTCCCAGTTCTTGCCATTCCCTGGGCATCTTTCCTGATTGTAAATGGTCTGCTCAGCTGCATGTAATTTGTTAATAACAAGTGGGTGCTGTTTGACTTAGTTGTATTTCCAGTTTGGCTCAGGACGAGATGCACAATACATCAGCCTATTCGGCCACCATTTATTTTATTTTTTTTTTACCACTTTCTGATCCTTGCTGTTAAAACCAGCCAGAGTGACCTCCTCTGATCACTATGGCCAGTAATTCCAGTACAATTTTGAACAAGAGTGTGAAGGCGGATATTCTGTCTTGTTCCTGTTCTTAGGGGATATGGTTTTAATTTTTGCCCATTGAGTAGGATGTTGGCTGTAATTCTGTCATATATGGCCTTGGTTATGTTGAGGTATGTCCCTTCTATTCTCACTTTGCTGAGTTATTTAAAAAAAACAAACAGGGTGTTGGATTTTTGTCTAATGCTTTTTCTGCATTGATTGATATGATCATGTGATTTCTTTTACAATCTGGTTTTATTTATTTTTTTGGTCTTGCAATCTATGTATGTGCTGTATCACGTTTATTGATTTGCAAATATTGTACCAACCTTGTATCCCCAGAATAAATCCCACTTGGTCATGATGTTTGATGTCTTTATTGTATCGCTGGACCTGGTTTGCTAAAATTTTGTCAAGGACTTTAGTGTCCAGGTTCATCAGGGATATTGGCCTGTAGTTCTTTTTCTTTTTTCAATATATTTTACTGATATTTTACAGAGAGGGAGAGGGATAAAGAGTTAGAAACATCGATGAGAGAGAAACATTGATCAGCTGCCTCCTATACACCTCCTACTGAGGATGTGCCCACAATCAAGGTACATGCTCTTGATTGGAATCGATCCTGGGACCCTTCAGTCCACAGGCCAACACTCTATCCACTGAGCAAACTGGTTAGGGCCTGTAGTTCTTTTTCTTTGCCATATCTTTATCTGGTTTTGGAATTAGGATAATGCTGGCTTTGTAAAACGAGCTTGGAAGTGTTGTATACTCTTGGATTTGTTGAAATGGTGTGAGGGGTATAGTTGTTAGTTCTTTGAATGTTTGGTAAAACTCTGTTTCGGTAAGCCATCTGGACCAGACCTTTTATTTGCTGGGAGTTGTTTTGTTTTGTTTTAATTACTGCTTCAATTTCGTTAGTAGTTATTGGTCTTTTCAGGTTTTCTGATTCTTCCTGAATGAGTTTTGGAAGGCTGTATTTTTCTAAGAATATGGGCTTTTTGTCCAGGTTGTCCTGTTTGTTGGAATAATGTCCGTCATAGTATTTTCTTACAGTCCCTTGTATTTCTGTGGGGTCAGTTTTTACGGCACCTCATTCTGTGTCTGTCAAGTCCACTTCCCAGTTCTTGCCATTCCCTGGGCATCTTTCCTGATTGTAAATGGTCTGCTCAGCTGCATGTAATTTGTTAATAACAAGTGGGTGCTGTTTGACTTAGTTGTATTTCCAGTTTGGCTCAGGACGAGATGCACAATACATCAGCCTATTCGGCCACCATTTATTTTATTTTTTTACCACTTTCTGATCCTTGCTGTTAAAACCAGCCAGAGTGACCTCCGTACAGCTCGCAAATGCACAGGGCAGGCTCCCATCTAGAGCCTGCCAACCCTTCCCAGACTTCCGCAGTGAAGACCCCCACTGACCAACGCTGGTTTCACCTCCCCCCATCGCTGCTGTCACCTCTCACAGGTATCCTGGTCCATTGTGTACTGTCCTCCACTAGATGCCAGTTCCCAAGGACAGGGGACTCTGTATTTGGGAAATCTGAAACAGTTGAGCTCAACAGTATCCAAAGCCACAGTCTTTATATGTGTTCCTTATGCCCACCCATGGCTGCTGAGCCTCCATCCAGCCTGATTCAAGTTCTCATCCCTACAGCCTTCCCTCAGCCCACCTGCTCAAGGAACCTGGACCATGAGCTGGCAGGAACACGTTCACAGGCACCCAAACTCTCTGCCCCCTCAACCGCATCCCCCAGCAGCACACTATTCCCCAGAATCCAGGAACTATGCCCTCATTTCAGGTCTTCCATGCACAGGCAAAACTTAGGGGTGGGAGCACACCAACCACAAATCATCCTCCAAATGTGGAATTATATTGAGACCGATCCTCTCCTTCTGGAAATGCTTGTATTACAGAATGTTCCCACCATTGAAAATAAACAAAACCATATCCTGGAGAATCCATGCTACCTCCAGGACAGCTGGGTGAGGGGGTAGGGTAGAGCTGTGCTGTATTTTTAATAAAGTGCAAAATAATCCCTAAAATGAAAAAAAAAGAGACGTAAACACCAGTGGGTCTCAGGGGTGTGAATAGGTTGGCGGGAGGCAGGATTTTCTAAAGGTGAACTGATTTCAGGGCCCATAGCATCAGGGGGCTTCTCCCAGATACAGAAGTAGGTTCATTTGCAGCAGGCCAGGTGCCTGGCGGGTGGGGAGGAGCAGGGAGACCTCTGGATGGAGACAGAAGAGCCCTGGCCAGTACATCTCAGGCAGACACAGAACCCAAATCCCTCCCAGGGCCTTGCCTCTCTGCCAAACACTGGGAAGGGCACAGTGAGCCCACCTGCAGTGGGAACATCCCAGGAAAAGGCAGGAAAGAGTGAGGAAAGGTGGGTTGTGCCGGCAGAGGCCCCATCTCAGGGCACCAGGGTGAATGTTTGGATTTTTTGGTAATCCTCACCTGAGGATATTTTTCCATTGATTTTCATACAGAGTGCAAGGGAAGGGGGAGAGGAAGAGAAAGATTGGGAGAGACATCAATGTGAGAGAGAAGGAAAAATTAGATGCCTCCTACAAAGCTCCATAGGGGCCAGGATCAAACCTGCAAATAAGAACCACAAAGTCACGCAGTCTTTATTTCAAGGCCGTGGGCAGCAATGCACTAAAAGCCAATATTGGTCAAAGAGTGATTTCCTGGCACTATGCTGTCCCTCCTAAAGCACAGAAACGTTGGGATCCACACAATATCTGTAAATTATATAACGTAGACCACAATAGTGCTTGAAAATCATCCCTGGGGGTGAATATAACCAAGAAAATTAAAGGTACTAAAGAAAAAATACCTTTACTAAAGATCACAAACCAGAAAATAGGACAGAAAGCGGTTTGCAGGTTGGTGAATCAGAATTTGAAACAATTCATCACAGCATAATGTGAGAACCACATGTCCCTGACAGAGGCCGCACTTCTTAGCTGAGGAAGGTGCCCTGTATGAACCCTGGGTCAGGTGCATTACCTCCTCGGAGATAAATGAAGATCCTGTCAGGAGCGGAGGGTTCCTAATGTTCTCAAGCACAAGTGACAACACAGAATACATTTCCCCTGAGCACGCAGTGGTTGGGACTGATACACACTCTTCAGGTGAGCCAGGTGGTAGAGGGGAAATCTCTTCAGCCACAAATCAATCGGGTAGAAGACCTGGGCATGTTACAAAGTGCAATGCACTTTTACTTGTCTCAGAAGTCCTGACCTGTGACTTGCCTTGTATACATACTCGCTGATCAGAACAGGCCTCCATATGGTTTAAGCTTCACCTGTACTGGAAACATGAGGAATCTAGAAGAGTGTATGTTCCATTAAAAGGGGTTTAAATTTAGGAAAATAGGTCGCAAAGAGTCTCCTTCAGTGTTGTTATTCTAAGTGAATAAAAGGAAACATTCCCTGCACATTTAACACTTCTCTCCAGTGTGAACTCTGAGGTGTCTAGTGAGCTGAGCCCTTGTACGAAAGGACATCCCACATTCAGTACACTCATGTGGCTTCTCTCCAGTGTGAACTCTGAGGTGTCTAGTGAGCTGAGCCCTTGTACGAAAGGACATCCCACATTCAGTACACTCATGTGGCTTCTCTCCAGTGTGAACTCTGAGGTGTCTAGTGAGCTGAGCCCTTGTACGAAAGGACATCCCACATTCAGTACACTCATGTGGCTTCTCTCCAGTGTGAACTCTGAGGTGTCTAGTGAGCTGAGCCCTTGTACGAAAGGACATCCCACATTCTCTGCACTTATATGGCTTTTCTCCTGTATGAACTTTGCTGTGTTGTCTGAGGTTAGACTTGTAATGGAAGGATTTCCCACAATGTCTGCACTCATATGGTTTCTCTCCTGTGTGAACGCTGAGGTGGTCAGTGAGGTGGGTCTTTTGACGAAAGGACTTCCCACATTCTCTACACTCATATGACTTCTCCCCACTGTGAACTCTGAGGTGTACAGTGAGCTGAGCCCTTGTACGAAAGGACATCCCACATTCTCTGCACTTATATGGCTTTTCTCCTGTGTGAACTCTGTTGTGTTGTTTGAGGTTAGCCTTGGAACGGAAGGATTTCCCACAATGTCTGCACTCATAGGGTTTCTGTCCAGTGTGAACTCTGAGGTGTTCAGTGAGGTGCCTCTTTTGACGAAAGGACATCCCACATTCTCTGCACTTATATGGCTTTTCTCCTGTGTGAACTCTGTTGTGTTGTTTGAGGTTAGCCTTGGAACGGAAGGATTTCCCACAATGTCTGCACTCATAGGGTTTCTGTCCAGTGTGAACTCTGAGGTGTTCAGTGAGGTGCCTCTTTTGACGAAAGGACATCCCACATTCTCTGCACTTATATGGCTTTTCTCCTGTGTGAACTCTGTTGTGTTGTTTGAGGTTAGCCTTGGAACGGAAGGATTTCCCACAATGTCTGCACTCATAGGGTTTCTGTCCAGTGTGAACTCTGAGGTGTTCAGTGAGGTGCCTCTTTTGACGAAAGGACATCCCACATTCTCTGCACTTATATGGCTTTTCTCCTGTGTGAACTCTGTTGTGTTGTTTGAGGTTAGCCTTGGAACGGAAGGATTTCCCACAATGTCTGCACTCATATGGTTTCTGTCCAGTGTGAACTCTGAGGTGTTCCATGAGGTGGGTCTTCTGACGAAAGGATATCCCACATTCACTGCACTTATATGGCTTTTCTCCTGTGTGAACTCTGTTGTGTTTTTTGAGGTTAGAGTTGTAACTGAAAGACTTCCCACAATGTCTGCACACATATGTCTTCTCTCCAGTGTGAACTCTCTGGTGTCTTATGAGTGCAGGTCTTTCTCTGAAGAACTTCCCACATTCATTACACTGATACTGCTTTTCTCCAGTATGAACTCCCATATGTCGAATGACATTAAAGTTTCGTCTAAACACTTTCCTATACCTGTTACACTCATAAATCAGTTCTCCAGAACACACACCCTGACACTGAACAACTTTCAGGTTGTGGCTGGCAGCGTTTTTACATTCATCCCACCGGTGATGACTTTTTCCACTGAGAAATTCCTGTGAAATCTCACTGCCACAGTGTAGCTCCTCAGTGTTGAGAGTGGCCTGGTGCTGGGGAAGCTGTGAGTTGGATTGCACGTCTTCCCCAACCTCCCTGCTGGTTGAAGGCACCGAAGGTAAGGAGAAGCTGCACCTGCTCACAAAAGAGGCCCCGTCCATAGCTTCTTTCCAGGGCCCCTCTCCACATTCATTCTTTTGTTGCTGGTGAGGGTTTACACCGAAACAGAATTCTCCAACACATGTGTCGCTACAGAAGGCTTTCTTCTCAAAGTACGCTGCATGTGACCCAGTCGGGTGCAAAATATGTTGTAACAGAGAGAAACACCGCTTACAGAGATGGTTCTTATGGGTGACTGGAGCTGTCTTAGAAGTCCTGACCTGTGACTTGCCTTGTATACATACTCGCTGATCAGAACAGGCCTCCTCATCTTCCATTTTATGCCAACAACCTGAAAAGTGAGAAATGGTGAGGAAATGAATGTTGAATGTGGTGGCAGGGGGAAGTCCCATTGCAAAAGTGTGTTGCACATCACACATTGGTGCCATGCAATTGTCTGAAAATAAGAGATAAGCAGGAAGGATTAATAAGAGGCTCTTGTGACTTTCTTGGCTAATGAAGATCACAAAACAGGGAGGCCTCACCAGAAATATGACACAAACATGGCAAGCACCACATGGATGAGAATATGGATCTCCAGCTCATCCTTCAACTAACAGCATTCTGCACATATTGTTTACCGGGGATGGGGGGTGGGGGGGAGCTGTGCAAGAAGTTGTTTAGGTCTTACTCCAAGTAAAATTCAATAAAGGAGTAGCTGGTTTCAAGGACTAATTAGCACATCTATGCACATATCACATGTACAAGTCAACGTTGCAGATTACTGCAGAGGCACCAATGCAGATGAACAGGTGATGAAGAAGTGAGTAGTCTGCACTGGGCCAGAGCTAAACAGCTTGCTATAGTATTCAGGGAAGAGAATATTACATACATTTGAATGAGGGCCTTACCAAAACAGCCCATGGTTTATGTAGGTAAAGACCATAATGTGGCACAAGAACGCGTACCAAGAGAAAGAGGGCAGAAGTAGAAGCCATGCATGTGGACACTGTCAGCCTCCCATGAAGAGAAAGTGCAAGCTGGGACCCATTAAACTCACTGCTAGGCTCTTGACTCCCTGACACTTCCTGTACTTTTTGAGGTTACGGGTGTTAGGGATGTTCCTGGAGTCCTTTACTCAGGGCTCCCCATCCAGCTCATCCCTGGCAGCCACAGCACATTTGACAGGACAGTGGGGGACAATAGCAGAGGCCATGTTCTGGCTGTGGGAGAGAGAAAGCTACGCCTGAGGTGTAAAGAAAGAGAGGTCATCACCTCAGGACACTGGGTGGGATAAGTGAAGGTCTTACCTACAGATGATACAAGGGCAAACACTTTCAGCATCACATCGTAGTACAGAAGTCTCTGAGCATCATCCAGGATCACCCACTCCTCTTCAGAGAAGGCAATGGCCACGTCCTCAAAGTTCACATCCTGTCATAATGGGGACAGTATAGCCCATGATCAGATTCACTCCTAAGATTATGTCTGTCATATTCCCCACCCATCTGCTCTTTGCACGCTTCACATCCGAGAAAATACCAGGCCTTCATCCCATGAAAGCCACTGTCTTCTTATTTTCCTGCTGATATTTTTCTTCCCACAACAATGAAGGCAGTTCAGCAGACAGAAGATACCTGAGCTCTGGACCTCCCATGTATGCCCCACTGTCTCTTATCCATAGAGTGGGTGTCAAAATATAGGTTAGTGAGGGATGTAGGCCATAAAGACAGTGTAATTTGATACTCTTCTTATCAGGATTTAGCATTGTAGTCCCTCCGATTGTTCCTCTAAGACACCAAAAACATGGCATTGCACTTCATCCGCTTGACCCCAATCCCAAGGTGCTGAGGCCATCACTTTTCACAATCTGCTGCTCATAGTTCTTTGAACAACACTTCTCTCACACAGCTTCTTTCCCAGACGCACAACTTCAAAGGTAGTGCAAATTTGTTGTGGCGTGGATATATTATTTCCTAATCACCTCTTTTCCAAAAATATAGGTCCCCACCTCCATAATCTATTTCTCTCTTACCCTTCACCCTTACCCATGCCAGTGGAGATTTACAAGCCTGAGTAACACTGATGAATGCTATCTCATTCCCATCAACCAGTGTGTCACTCCCAACAACAAAAAGCAGGTAGTTAGTTAAATGGCACCTAAGCTCTTAACCTAGAATGTAGCACTCACACACTCCTCTTTACAGGCAATTACCCTAAAATTCACCTTACTGTTCCATCCAAGCACCACCAGAAATGGACTCTTCCTTCATTCACTCTTATGTCAATGTCATGGTGCTGTGGCCATGAATTCACATTCCCTCTCCAAGTGCACATCACTCCATCTACCACACCTCTCTCAAACCTGCACTTCCACAGCTCCTGCCCCCATACTCATCTCCCGGCCTTTACTTATTACTCAGCATGTGTGGTCCAGAGGATGGTTGCCAAACTGAATCAGGATCAAGTACTGCCCAGTTTCTGATAGTCCACAGTCATAGTGGCAGCCTTGAGTGGTGCTATGTAGGCCTCTCTCCATGACTGTTTTTTTCCCCTTCAACCCCAACTATTAAGAACAACAATCAGATCTCAGATATCCATAGCCGACCTCCTGTTATGCTGCACTTGATGTCCCTTCACTAGTCACAGCCAACATCCCTCACGTAACCTTCACTCAAGTCCCAGCCCTGATGGCCCTCTGCACCATGCCCAGTGAGTCTCACTCAAGCCTCTAAGCCAGTGATGGCGAACCTATGACACGCATGTCTGAGGTGACACATGAACTCATTTTTTTGGTTGATTTTTCTTTGTTAAATGGCATTTAAATATATAAAATAAATATCAAAAATATAAATCTTTGTTTTACTATGGTTGCAAATATCAAAAAATTTCTATATGTGACACGGCACCAGAGTTAAGTTAGGGTTATTGGAAATGCTGACACGCCGAGCTCAAAAGGTTCACCATCACTGCTCTAAGCTAATCCACAAAACGAACTTCAACTCCCCACAGCCAGGCCACACTGAGGGGCACAACAACATCCTGGTGAGAGTTTAGAAAAGGTGTATGTACCAAACCTAGACTCTTGTTATTTGAATTACTCTTCGGCCTCCAATTAATCTCAGGTCCACTCATCTTTTGAAGGTATTTGCCACTGCAAAATGATTATTTTTCCACCACACTCTACATGACAACTTCTGTCTTTATGACAACCACCTCCCACAAACAGTGGCCACAGCATGAAAGCCAGTCCTGGTGCAGAATGTGAGGCTATTGCTAGGCCAGCAAGCATTCTACCCTCTGGCCTCGCCCATAGTGTGTAGCGGTTGCTGGGCGCCAGGGAGCCTCCTGCCAGCTGGGTGCTAAAGGAGTCGTGGCTATCCAGACATCTGATAAGAGGACTCCTAACAAGATATTGTCACTGTAACCCTTAAATATCTGGATCATTACTGTTACCTCTAAATTTCACAGGATATATAAAGAAATCTTCGCCCAGTCCAAGGAGCAGCAGCCACGCGCAGCCAGCACCCATCAAAGGAATAGCAGCTACGTGAGCAGTCCACCCCCGTCCAAGGAGCAACAGCCACACAAGTAGCCCGCCACCGTCTGAGGAGCAGTACCATGGGCAGCCTGCCCCCATCCGAGAAGCAGCAGCGTCTTGAGCAGCCCACCCCAGTCTGAGGAGCAGCAGCTGTGTGAGCAGCCCTCCCCCACCCGCCAGAGGAGCCACCACTGCTACGAACAGCACCCACTATAGGAGCCACTGCCAACTGAGAAGCAGCTGCTGCCGTGACGGCCCAATGGGCAACTGCAGCCCGAGGAGCCACTGCCACCCAAGGAACAGGCCCTGCACGGAGATCAAAAATGGGTACACAAAGAAACCCCCAAAGGAAAGAAAAGGAGGCATCACCAGATAAGCAGCTAAGTAGAACAGAGGCATGCAATATGTCAGAAAAAGAATTCAGAATAAGCGTCATACAGTTCATAAACAGGATGGATGAAAAAAATCAATAACTTATGTACGAATCAAGAAGAAATAAAGAATGACATAGCTGCAATAAAAAACACCATGTAATGTTTCAGCAGTAGAGTAGAAGTGGAGGACCGAATTAGTGAATTAGAAGACAGGGAAGCAAAACACAACCAAACTGAACTGAAATTGGAAAAAAAAATTAAAAGACAGGAGGAGAGCCTAAGGGAGCTATGGGACAACATGAAACGGTCAACATACAAATAATAGGGGTGCCAGAACAACAGGAAGAGGAACAATAGTTAGAAAACCCATTTGAAGAAATAATGTCAGAAAACTTCCCTGGCCCTGACCAGTTTGGCTCAATGGCTAGAGCTTCGGCCTGTGGACTGAAGAGTCCCAGATTCTATTCCGGTGAAGGGCATGTACCTTGTTTGCAGGCATATCTCCAGTGGGGAATGCACAGGAGGCATCTGATCGATTTTTCTAACTCTCTATCCCTCTCCCTTCCTGTCTGTAAAAAATCAATGAAATATATTTAGAAAAAAAAAAAGAAAACTTCCCTGATGTGGAAAAGAAAAAAGTCATGCAAGCACAGAGAGCCCCAAACAAGATGAACCCGAAAAGACCCACACCAAGACACATCATAATTACCATGGCAAATGATCAGGACAAAGAGAGAATCATAAAGGATGCAAGAGAGAAACAGAAAGTTACGTACAAGGGCTCTAAACCATTAGATTATCAAATGACTTCCCAACAGAAACACATCAGGCCAGAAAAGAATGGAAGGAAATTTACAAAGTGATACAAAGAAAGGGACTAAATCCAAGAATACTCTCTCCAGCAAGGCTATCATTGAAAATTGAAGGGGAACTAAGGATCTTCACATACAAAAAAAGCTAAGGAAGTTTATCACTACCAAGCCAGCAATGCAAGAAATGCTAAAGGGAATGGTGTAAAAAGAAGAAATAACAAGGGAAGAAGGAACACAGGCACAAAAAATAAAAATGGCTACAAATAACTATCAATAACTTTAAACATAAACGAACTAAATGATCCAATCAAAAGACATCAAGCAGCTGAATGGATAAAAAAAAACATGACCTATATATATGCTGTCTACATGAGACACACCTCAGAACAAGGGATTCACACAGACTGAAAGTGAAGGGATGGAAAAATATCTTTCA